ATTTTTGTGCACCGGGCCTCTAGTAAATAAATAAATAAATAAATAAATAAATAAATAAATAAATAAAATATTCCTATCACATTTCTTTCATGATTCCCACTGCGTGTTATGTAGTTCAGGCTCTAAGCACCTCCTGGGTCTTGCTTTTACTGAAGACTCTCTCTCATCCCAACAGATTTTGGACCCAGACAATCTTGTTGGAGTTGTTCAGATTGAAAACATCATGATCATTGCAGAGTCCTACGACATGGCCTTGGACATCACCTTCCCCAAAGGTGTTTAGCAGTCACATCTTCTGGTGCAGTGTAGTGCAGGGTGACAAGAACTATACTGGGTGGAGGGTGACGTATCCTGAGATGGGGATCTTTTGGTGCAGTATAGGCGGTTATTGGAGGAGGGGTAGAATTTCAGTAAATAGTAACGCGCGCCCCAGAGTGATGTTAGCAACATTACAAGAATCTCAGTTTGTCCAACTGGAAACGACGGCAGGGGGAGAGGTCATGTAGATACAACATTTACAGAGCTCTTTTCTGAGCAGTCATCTGAGAGTGAGTACCATCTTCCTGCCTGTATTAGTTTTCTATCACTGCTGTAACAAATTCCCACAAACTTGGTGGCTTCAAACAATAGAAATGTCTTATCTTTCAGCCCTATGGATCACAAAATCCAAAATGAATGTCACTGGACTAAAATTAAGGTGTTGGCAGGGCTGCATTCCTTTCTGGAAACTCTGGGCAAGACTCCATCTCCTGGCCTTTTCCAGCTTCTAGAAGCCACCCCCATTTCTTGTCTCATGGTCCCCTTCCTCCATCTTCAAAGGCAGGAATGTTGGGTCAAGCCTTTCTCACATTGCCGGGTCTCTGGTTCTCCCATGTTTGTCTCCCTCTTTCACTTTTAAGGATTCTTATGATTATATTGGGTCCTTCAGAGAATCCAGGATCATCTCCTCATGTTAAAGGCCAATGATCAGCAACCTGAATCCCATCTGATACCTTAATTCCCCGTTGCTATGTAAACTAGCATATTCCCAGGTTCTCTTGGGGCAGGAGTGGCATGATTCTGCCCACCACATGGCCCCATCACCCAGCTTAGATAGAGCCTTTGACCATGCCCTTTTCCACCTCCCTCCTTTCTCTGATAGATCTCAACAAGATTCATAGAATGTTAGAACTACATGTTTGCCTAGATGTCATCAGTCTCATGTACAAAGATAGTTACCACAGCATTATTTATAACAATGGAAGAGTGGAAATAATCTAAATTTCTATCAGTAATGGAATACTGTTATTATAGGAATAATACTGTAAATTATGGAACAGCCATATCACGATATATTGTGCACCCATTAAGATCACATTGAGGATGCCCTGGCCAGTTTGGCTCAGTGGATAGAGTGTCAGCCCACAGACGGAAGGGTCACAGGTTCAATTTATGTTCAAGGGCATGTACCTTGGTTGCAGGCTCTGTTCCCCGGCCCCAGTTGGTCAAGGCACGTGTGGGAGGCAACCATTCAATGAATCTCTCTCACACCAATGTTTCTCTCTCTCTGTCTTCTTCCCACTCTCTCTAAAAATCAATGGAAAAATATCCTGGGGTGAGGATTAACAATAACAACAAAAGATCACATTGATGAGGAGTTGTTAATTATGTGTGGAAATTGTTATGATGTAATGCTAAGTAAAGCAATACAAATTTATATATAACTAGAGGCGCAGTGCACGAAATTTGTGCACGGGTAGGGTCCCTAGCGGCTGCCTGCTGCTGGCTGCCTGCCGGGGCCTCCTTTCCCCCAACTGCCTGCTGCCACCACTGCCGCCACCACAGGCGGCCAGGGCAGGGTCAGCCATGGGGAGGGGCCGAGGGCTGTTGGCCGGCCAGCCCCGCCCCCCGGTGGAACGCCCAGTGGAACTCCTGGTTGAGGGGACAATTTGCGTATTAGGCTTTTATTATATAGGATATCCCAACTCTGTACACCATATGCTTAGTGCAAAAAAATTGAATACTGGGAGTTTTAGCCACTGGGAGACATAAAAGGACAGTGATCCTAGGATAGAAGCCAGAGGGAGCTGCCCCATTGAATCGGGTGCAAGAGCAGTGTCTGTTGTTTGCGAAGATGCAATTACAAAAGCTTTTCTAGCCATGATGTTTTCAGAAAGCAAATTCTCTGAAATTATCACCATGGCTTTTCCACGTGACATGCAATAGGAAGTCCCCCTGCTTCTTGTTCCCACGCCCACTTATCCTCCCCATCCCGGCCCTGGCCTCTGCAGGAGCTGAAGGAGGCCTTGATTTTGGGACCGTGAGAGTCCTGGAGGAGGTGAAGCAGCCCCTGCAACTGAAGAACCGTGGGAAATATGAGATCATGTTCAGGTAACCTGAAAACCATCCGGCATGTGGTCATCTGTGTCCACTCCTGGGGAGAAAAATGTGTCTAGGAGATTTTTTTAAAAATGTTTGGGGCAATCATAAGAACCATCTCTGCTTTTAGCCTCTCCTGGTTTCAATGAAGGGAATTCCAACTGCTAAGAGAGCAGAGATGCTCACACTGCTCTCAACTCTGCGGCTTTGTGGAGACCCTTAAGGGCCCTCTGAAGGCACCTAGCGCCACGGGGCCTGAGGGGGAGATGCTGTGAATAGGAGATACTGGGAGGAGGAGGTCCTGGGGTAGAGGGAGAGACGGAGATGGGGAACCTGGCCTCAAGCTGCCCTGCCCTGTCTTCAGCTCCTCTGTTTCATAAATTGGCATTCTACATAAGATTTCAGTGGGTAGATGTTCCAATTTTCTTGTTTAATTTTAAGAAGCACTGTTTGTATGCATTCCTAATGGCAGCCTAGAGGACTAGAGGTTCAGCTTGTGCTCATCTCTTGAGATTAAAAATCTGGTGATAGCCCAGCCAGCGTAGCTCAGTGATTGAGTGTCAACCTATGAACCAGGAGGTCCCAGTTCTATTCCTGGTCAGGGCACATGCCCAGGTTGCTGGCTTAATCCCCAGTAGGGGGCATGCAGGAGGCAGCCGATCAATGATTCTTTCTCATCATTGATGTTTCTCTCTCTCCCTCTCCCTCTCCTTTCCTCTCTGAAATATATATATATAGTGATAGCCAGAGGGAAAGGGGATGTGGGGATGTGGGGAGGGGAAAATGAGAAAAGGTAGGATAAATGGGAATAGAAAGAGATTTGACTTTGGGGTGGTGAGCGCACAATGCAATATGCAAATGATGTTTTATTGAACTATACACTTGAAGCGTGTATGGTCTTATTAACCAATGTCACCTCAATATATTCAATTTTTTAAAAATGAAAGACTAAATAAAGGAGTTTCCTGAGAGAGGAAAGGGTGGTGCTTGGGGGGAGGGAAGAGGTCACTCAGGCAGGGTCACACGAACCTCAGTGGCAGTGCCAGCACCCACGGCCAATCTATTTCTATGAAAAGTCATCCTTCCCCCAGAAGAATTCACAGCTGATAAAGGGACTTCCCCTTCACAGATTTGGAAGAAATTCAGTGCATTCATGATAGTTTTTTTTCCGCTCAGAAAATGCTGAAAATTCGAGAGGTGCCACTTCCATACCACCATTAGTTAGAACCATGTATTGGAATAAATAAATACAAATGAAAGCTTAACCGACGTAAAAGAAAGCCACTGGCACTCAGGCATTAATGCTGCATGCAACTGTGCCTGTTGGCGAGTTTTGTTTCAGGTTAAGGCCGGGTGTTAGCTCCGCTCTTTCAGGTCGCATGGAAGAGCCACCCTCTGGTTCCAGCAGGTGGTGAGGGGATTGTGCGGGGAGGTGAGGGAGCGCAGGCGCCTGCAGGCAGCAATGGCGTGACCAGGTCCCCTGGGCATGAGGATGACATGCAACTCCAGGTGTCCCATCTCAGCTGAAGTTCCTGTTCCTTCTCCAGTCCCCTGCCATTTTCATGAGTCAGCTCACCTCTGTGGTATCTCACCTCACCTCCACGGGGCCACAGCCCCCCTTTCTGAAGGCCTCTCTTATAGGGCTCCTGCCCCCCGCTTTCTCTTCTTTCCTGGATCCCCTGTCTTCTGCGTCACTGTTTCTTCTGGGTGTGTTGCACCCAGTCTCAGAAAGGGCAGTTGGGTGGGAGGGAGGGAGGGAGATGAATTAATATAGTTGATCCTTATCCAGCATCAAGTGTCCCTGTTGGACAGAGATTTCCTGCTAGGGCACCACTTCACCACAGGCTGGAGATGGCTGTCTTTGCCTCAAGTATCACTCACTGGCCCGGTCAATCCTGGCTAAGGATGGGTAGTCACAGAGTGCAATGCACAGTGGACACTGCTAGGCCAAGTAGTTAACCAGGGCCAGAGGCATGGCAGGCACTTAACAGTCTAGAGCAGCGGTTCTCAACCTGTGGGTCGCCAACCTGTGAGTCGAGACCCCTTTGGGGGTCGAACGACCCTTTCACAGGGGTCGCCTAAGACCATTAGAAAACACATATATAATTGCATATTGTTTTTGTGATTAATCACTATGCTTTAATTATGTTCAATTTGTAACAATGAAAATACATCCTGCATATTGGATATTTACATTACGATTCATAACAGTAGCAAAATGACAGTTATGAAGTAGCAACAAAAATAATTTTATGGTTGGGGGTCACCACAACATGAGGAACTGTATTAAAGGGTCGCGGCATTAGGAAGGTTGAGAACCACTGGTTTAGAGTCTGCTCTCTAGTATCTTGGGTTCCCTGGATAATGACTTATACTAACCTTTATTCTTATCTTCCAGCTTTTCTGTGGACTCTGTAGGCATTACATCCACCAATATAAATTCTATGATCTCAGTCCAACCCAGGAAGGGCTCAATGTCCACAACAGATAAGCCCACAAATGTCCAGGTGTTCTTCCGCGCAAAAAAGGAAGTGAAGATAGAGCAACAGCCAATCCTGCGCTGTCAGGTGAGAGAACTCAGTGGCAGGCTTGTGGGACGCATGGAAAAAAGAAGAGCACATGGTCTACCCATGCTCCAAGGGGGGAAAGGGAGGGCTGGCCTGGGTGGCAACCAGAGAGGATGCACCAGCGTTTGGTCCCCAACTAGTAGGTCCAGGTAGGTCAGGTGGGAGGTAGGCAAAGTCATCAGAATTGAGAGCGCCAGAAAGGCAATGTGGACCCGGCTCTTTGGGGAGCACCTGAGACAAGGAAGCCGAGGTTAGTCATCAAGTGCAGAGGAGGAGTGGGGAAGTGAAAACAGGAGGCAAAGTTGGTCTGTGTCAGCCATTTTCAACAGGTGTGCCCCAAGAATGTTTAAAACATGCAACACCTAGTCAGGGGCACTGACCTCTTTTCCCTTAGACTGTCAACTTAAAAAATGACAACAGCCAACACAACAATAGCCATCTAGTGTGAACGAATCAAAATTATACCTATTTTTTTTGTCAGATTGGCAAAAAAATATATTTTTTGGTGTGCCGCAGAATTTTAATAATTAGTGTCTATGAGAAGGTTGAAAATCGCTGGTCCATGTTGATCCATGCCATGGCTAGTTTGTGGTAAGTTTTATGTTAGTATTTTCTAATATTGTTGATGCAATAATATAAAGAGAATGAAAGGAACATGCCTTCATGCCAACGAGGAAAATAGGCAATGAATTAGACAGTCAGTGGAATTCTGGAGCTATGCCGGTAGCTGATGTCTTCCCAATCCTCCTTTCCTTTCTAGATCATTGAGCCCAATATGACAGACGGGACTGAAATCATTGCCAGCATCCCAATTAGGCTTTCTGTGAATGCAGTGTTCTCCAAATACAACATCAGCCCCTCCTCCATCATCAACTTTGGGGCTCTGATCTGTGGCACTCGTAAAAGCACCACCTTCACCATAGAAAATCAAGGTGTTACTGACTTCAAGTATAACCTCTACAGGATGACAGGGGAGAGCTCCATTCCCCAAAAGAAAGCGTAAGACAGCCATTTGCTTGACTCATGCCATTCCCTAGTTAATTAGTGCTTGATATTTTACAACGAGCTTTCATATATTTTATCTAAATTGCACCTTATTCCCTGTTGTGAGTGAGATCATTAAGAAATGACTCATGCGCCCTGGCTGGGTGGCTCAGTTGGGTGGAGCGTCATCCCATACACCAACAGGTGGCTGGTTCAATTCCCGATCAGGGTACATACCCAGGTTGTGGGTTGGATCCCCAGTCAGGGCGTGTGCAAGAGGCAACTGATCACTGTTCCTCTCTCTCTCTCTCTTCCTTCCTCTCTCTAAAAATAAAAAATGACTCGTCCAAGATTATCCAAGAAATCACACCAGTAGATCTCAATTGTGAACCCACATCTCTGACTCCAGATTTCACATACTTTCTAATTAATTAAAATTGTTTTATTCATTAACTTATAGTTGACTTTCTAATAAATTGGTTTAAATCAGATATACATACAACTTTACATTGTTTGTAGTTGTTTTACACTTTTGTGGATAGCCTCTTTCATTTTGGCAAAGTATTAAGAGATTTTTTGTTAAACTGTCGAAAGTCTCTATCTTCCTCATTTAATTTCAACCTAATATTTTACTTATTTTATAATAATTTAATAATGTTTATAGATATTATAATACAACTGTGTGTTGCTTTAAATTGTCTTTTATTTATTTTTCACTTTAGCATGCACAAATTCATGCAAAATATTCAAAAGAGGATAGAACTTTAGTTGTTCTATCTTCAGTTGGTCATTAAGCAAGTGAATGCTCAAATATATAAATCTCTCAAAAGGTTAGAATTGCACCTCAAATACATTTGGATATTTTAGGGGAAATAGCCTCCAGGAAAATTAATTGTTGGGTAAACTAGCTTCAAGTGAAGTGAACAGTTACCCAAGCTTGTGTTTGTGCTATTCTTTAAACTACCTCTTAAAAATACCATGACAGCCCTGATCGGTTTGGCTCAGTGGATAGAGGGTCGGCCTGCGGACTGAAGGGTCCCAGGTTTGATTCCGGTCAAGGGCATGTACCTCAGTTGTGGGCACATCCCCAGTAGAGGGCGTGCAAGAAGCAGCTGATCAATGTTTCTAACTCTCTATCCCTCTCCCTTCCTCTCTGTAAAAAAAATCAGTAAAATATATTTTTTTAAAAATACCGTGACTGCCCTGGCCAATTTTACTCAGTGGTTAGAGCATCAGCCTGCAGACCGAGGGGTCAAAGGGTCTATTCCTAGTCAAGGGCACATTCCTGAATTGCAGGTTCCCCAAACCTCAGTAGGGGCGTGTGCAGGAGGCAACCAATCAATGTGTCTCTCTCATGCCAATGTTTCTCTCTTTCTCTCTCCCTCTCCTCCCTCCCCCCTCCCTTCCACTCTCGCTAGAGATCAATTGGGAGGGGAAAATATCCTCGAGTGAGGATTAAAACAAAAACAAAAAAAGAGCATCATGACTATAAATGTGAAGAAAGGGCCAGAATTTAATCTATTGACCATTTCATTTTTTTAAATGAGATCAGGTAAAAGATTTGATGTCTACAAGTAATTTCTACACACTGCTTTCCAAAGAACTCAAGTAAACATTTAAAAACTATTATTCTCTTGCAGAATAATTTTCAATGTCCTTATGAGTCATATGTAATAAGTACAATTACTGCATAATTTTCTCACCGTTGTTAAATGACTTTGGCTAATGGTGAATGCTGACTATACTACCCCAATGTCCTCTTTAGGCAAAAAAAAAGGGGGGGGGCCTTCCCCCATTCCTAGGAGAAGGGACCTTGCAAGCAGACAGACAGGTGGCATTTAACATCACCACCCCCATCTAAGGGTGTATGTACTCTTGCTTCTTTAATTAGTGTCAGCCACACAAGGACTTTAAGATCCCGGGAAAGCGAGAACTTCTACAAGGCTACCCCTTCCAGAGCAGCCAAGTTCTCAGAAACTGTTCAGAAAGAAATAAACATCACTAGCCAGGTAAGGACCCTTTCCCTTGTCCAAAGAAACCCTGTAAGACCACCTTCCAACTAGTCCTTGCACAAACACTCCCCTCCCCAGGATAGCAGGAATGTTCAATAGTTATACTGAAATACCACTTTCATTTTAAGACCAGGTGTTAGGGCCTTTAATTTGGATATCCTCTTTTGTTTTAAAACCTTCATGGGCTCCTCACTGCCTTCCGATTACATTTCAACTCTTTATATATATTATATTTAGCAATCTTTTGCTCATAAGAAACAGGAGCCCATTAAGACTGGCTTAAATAAAAGGAAATTCAAAGACACCTGCTTCTGGTAAGATGGAGTTAGATATACTTTTCCCTACCCTTCCCAAACCAAGTACAACTAAACCCCTGGACATTACGTATAAAACAGGCGGAGAGAAAACAGATCAGATCAGTGAGGGTCCTTGGGACCCAATGAATATCACGGTGGTGAGTTCCCTGAGTTTTCTTTTTGCCTCATATATCTCATCGGGATGCTGAAGGAGCCGGCAACACAAAAACATCACCAGGCACAGATCAAAAAAAAGGCCCCAACAAAAGCCTATTCCCACTGGCCAAACAACCAGGACAAGAGCAGCCTAGTAAACCAGAAATCTTTAAATAAGACCTGTCCTATGACAGTTGAACATGACAAAACCTAGGATCCTACCGCACCATTGCTAGCAAAGGACCATGGGAAGACTCTCACCCTATCCAGGTTGTGAGGAGGTGCCTCAACCCCCGGCCAGAATGGTGTCCCAAGAACACCCAGGGGGTAGCCAGGAGTTTCCAGACCCTCCCCCCCTCCCCCATTGTTAGTGGAGACACCACATGGGAGCTTTGAGTTTCACCTGACCCAGTGGTAACAGACGTTTCTCCCCCATGCCCAGTGGACCTCCCCACCCAGGCAACAACAGGACAGTAAGGAAGCTCTCCTCCCCCACCTTGCCAGGGAGGTAGCTGTTGAGGACTAGTGGGGAGCTGGAGCCCCCACCCTTGCCTGGCAGAAATGAGCAGTCTGAGTGGGGGATTGGACCACCACCCCCACCTGGGAGTGATGAGGCAGTGCTTCTCTCCCCCTGCCAGAGAGGTCTCGGAGAAAGCCAGGTCAAAGAGGTTTAAGTAAGATCCAGAGTCTTGTAATATAACACCCAAAATGTCCAGGTTTCTCCTGAAACTCACTTGTCATACCAAGAGCCAGGAAGATCTCAAACTCAATGAAAATAGTCAAGCAACATATGGCAACACCGAGAGGAGAGTGCTGTTAGGATTATCTGACAAAGACGCTGAAGCAGCCAACATAAAAGTGCTTCTGTGAGCAAGTACTCACACTTGGAGCAATTGAAAACACTGTAAGTCTCGGCAAAGAAAGAGCAGCCATAAAGAAGAACCAAATGGGAATTCTGGAATTGAAAAAAAAAAAATAAGCAAAATGTAGAATTTCATGAAGGGGTTCAACAACAGAATGGAGGGCAGATTCCCACCTGGGTAAGTGTTGTAGGATGTGGAACGTGTCTGTCCCCGAAAGCCCCACTCAATCGTGATTGGTCCAAGCAAAAGGAGTTATCTCTGTGCTTCATCTGAGAACTTGCTGAGCCAGAAGCACTGAGAGATCCCCTCCCTGGAGAACCCCCAGGCCCTCCCACCAGGAGAAGAGCTGAGCCCCAGAGGAAGCCTCTGGGGGACCCCCCAACAGTCCCTCTTGACACCTTCTCACAGCTCTGGTAGAAGGGCTCAGTCTCTGTCACCCGCTGGGCTCCACCCCTCCCACAATCCCACTGTTTTCTGCAGGCTCGCTACAGCCACGGCATGTTCTCCGTGTACCCTGGGTTTGGCTCCATCTCTGCCGGAGGCATACAGACCCTCACCGTTGACTGCGTGGCTGACCCTGTGGGGAAGTGTGAGGAGTTTATGGCGATCGATATCTCTGACCGGGACCCCAGAGACCACCCTGGTGGCATTCCTTACAGCCTGTTGGCAGAAGCCTGTCTACCAGGTACTGAGCACTCAGATGGGACCGCATCCCTTACAAGACCTTCCTCTGTAACAGCCCCTCCCCCGTGCACATGTGGAGCAAACATGGCTGGGCGGCTACCTTTGGGGCCTTAGAACTTCCTCTAGTCACATCTTCAGCCACATTTCTCCCTAAAGACCTACAAGGCATGCACACCTACAAGGGGGTGTGCAGCTTTAAACTCCTAGTCTTCCTGAGTTTGGTCTGGGCTTCTCAGATGACCAGGGTTCTCTGGGAATCGCGGTTCGATGGGATCTGGCACAAGTCCCGTATCCAGCCTGTTCGTGGCCAGGTCACTCCCTGTGGGCAACACGCGCACGGAGCACAGTGCCGGTGACTGACGAGCATGCTGCAGCTTTCACCCAGCGGATCTCGGACGGAGCACGGGGAGAGCTTTTGCTTTGGCTAGAGGCGCCCTGCAGCCTCGCACCAAAGGGAGCCAACTGCCTCCTCCTTTCTTAAGCCCACCCCAGATCCTGATCTGACCCCTCCTTGCCATGGGGAGGAATGGTGGTTGGGGTCTGGCGACCCACAAGATCAGTATGAAAGAAGTTAGACTATGTCCCATCACTCACACCCTATCTCTCTTCTATGCTTGTCCTTTGTCGGAATCCAAACCTCCAAGTGAGGAATTAGAGAAAGCAGGAACTGGGCTACCGGGCTGCGTCTAAGTCTTCCCTCCACTCCCCAGCCTTCGTGACGGACAACAACGCCTCCATATTTGAGGAGCACCAGATCTGCAACAGTACCAACCTGTACAGCATCCTGCAGACCACAGAGAGCAAGGGGCTGTTTGTGGAGGATGAGAACAAGTTCATGTTCAGCCATGTCATGGTGGGCCATCAGGCCAAGGCTCGGTTCAAGATGAGCAATGTGGGGAAGATCTCCTGCGATGTGACCATTGTGGTTAAGCCTGTCTCCAACAAGGTAAGCAGCCCCCCTCGGCCCCAGCCCACCGGTGTTGGCTGAAAGCCGGGGAGAGAACTCTTGGAAGCCCCTGCTCTGGAGCCCGTCTACATCAGTGGGGATTATCTGACACTCAGGCCCTGCTGGAAGTTGTAGGGGGAAACTGGACAGACCACAGAGAGCAGGGGGCTGGGCTGTGAGGAATTTTCTATATATTTTTCACAGTGAAATAGAAAATTCAGGATGACAAGAGAGAGGGCTGAGTCAATAGGTTTCACTCACCCTTCACTTCCAAGCAGAAGTGCTACAGATGCTATAGTCTTATCTCCGCTGCTCAGTTCTCTGCCCCAAAGTAGAATCTTGGCCCAGGTGTCCTTGTGCCCCAGAGCTGGCATTGTTCACATGGCTGGTGGTGGTGGGGGGACCACCCAGAGGGTTGGCCCAGCCTAGAGCCAGAATAGAGTATGCATTCCCAGGAGGCTGGCACCCACCACAGAGGGACAGGGTTTGGGAGACTAATTCCTCTTATGACTTCCCTCACGCCCCAGTGATATCCAGTCATTATTCTTTGACTTTATTTGGGACACAAAGGAGCAGCTAGTTCTTCCTTATTTTGTGCTAAAAAAAAAAAAAAAAAAAAAAAAAAAAAAAAAAAAAAAAAAGAGGG